AACCTCATCTTTCTCCCGCGGAGCGGCTGGTAGTTTCGAACCGCTGACCTTAAGGTTCGCAGCCCGATTCGTAACCACTACGCTACCAGAGCTCCTTCAATGACACTTAGAGACAACAATTATTTAAAAGGACCCTTGGTAGCATGAGCTTGGATTATGAGTTTAGCTGCTAACCACAAGATCAGCAGTTTGAATCCACCATTTGCTCCCTGAGAGAAAAATTAGACTTTCTACTCCCATAAAGATCTTCAGCCTTGGAAACCCTATGTAAGGTCTCTATGAGTCAGAACCAACTCATTAACACACAACCACCACTAAACCGCTATTTAAGTTCATCTCTCTCTCTGTAGATATCCATCCGGGACTTACCACTGCAATACTCGTTCTGAATGATCATGTGACTGTCTTCTGCCCACGCAGAGTAGTAACGCACCACGTGAGGGTGATGCCCAAGTACTGCATGAGCATACACTTCACGCAAAGCCAAATCCCTAAGAAATAGGAGAGCAAAAGTCATCAAGAGTATGTACAAAATGACTTTAAAAGGAAAGCTATGGGGCGTAATTAATTCTCACATGGGAAGGGCATTTATTGATGACCTGCTTCTTTTCTCAACTATTTTATCTCATTAAATCTTCATAACCTCTCACTACAGTGGTGATGTCATGGATGTTGGCCAATGGTGTTGAGTCCTCCATCTCACAGCGACCCTGTGCACAAAAGAACGAAGCACTACCCACCTCCCTGGGCCACCCTCACAATGACTGTTACATGTAAGCTCATTGTTGTCATCGTGATGCCAGCCCATCTCATTCAGGGGTCTTCCTCTTTTCAGTGGCCCTCTACCAAGCATGAAAAGGGACTGATCCTTCCTGATACCATATCCAAAATATATGGCACGAAGTCTCACCATCTCCTCTTCTAAGGAGCATTCTGGCGGTACTTCTTCCAAGACAGATTTGTTTGTTCTTCTGGCGGTCCCATGGTAAGGTCAATATCCTTCACCAACATCACACCTCACATGCATCAATCCTGCCGCCCCCCCCCCTTCCTTACTCATTGTCCTGCTTTCATATGCATACGTTTGTTGTTGTTGTTATGTGCCGTGGAGTCGGAACCGACTCATAGCGACCCTGTACAGGGTTTCCGAGGGTGTGAATCTTTACGGGAGTAGAAAGCCTCATCTTTCTCCCGCGGAGCAGCTGGTAGTTTCGAACTGCTGACCTTGAGGTTCACAGCCCGAGTCGTAACCACTACGCTACCATATGCATACGAGGCTACTGAAAATACCATCTTTTGGGTCTGGCACAATTTAGTCTTTAAGTGACATCTTTGCTCTTGAACGCTTTAAAGAAGTCATTTGCAACAGATTTGCCTAATGCAATATGTCAGTTGATTTCTTGACTGATCCTTTCATGATTCTTGAGTGTGGATCAAAGTGAAATGCAATCCTTGACAATTTCAGTGTTCTGTCCATTTATCATGATGTTATTTATTGGTCCAGCTGTGCAGACTTTTGTTTTCTTTACATTAAGTTGTAATCCACACTGAAGGCTGTAGTCTTTGATTTTCATCAGTAAGCACTTTGAATCCTTCACATTTTCAATAAGCAAAGTTGTGTTACCTGCACATCACAGGTTGTTAATAAACCTTTCTACAATCTTGACTGGAGTTCTGGTATGGCACTGTGGGTTAATGTGCCGGACTGACTGCAAAGACATTTGAACTGTAAAGTTGGTGGTTCAAGCTCACCAGCTGCTCCTTGGAAACCCTATACAGAGTAGCTATGGGTTGGAATTGACTCATTGGCACTTAACAACAACAACTATCTTAATGCCAGCCTCTTCTTCATATAATTCACCTTCTTGGATTGTTTGCTCAGCAAACAGGTTAAATAAACATGGTGAAAGGATACAACCCTGACATTTTCTGACTGTAAACCATTCAGTGTCCCATTGTTCTATTCAAACAACTACCTCATGGTTTATGTATAGGATCCTCATAAATACAACTAAATGTTCTGGAATTCACATTGTTTGCAGTGCTGAACATAGTTTATTTTGATCCATGCAGTTAAATGCCTTACAATAGTCAATAACACAAGTGAACATCTTTCTGTCCGCAATGATTCACTAGTTCCACACACTTCTCTGAATCTGGTTTGAATTTCTGGCAGTTCCTTGTCAATATATTGCTGCAATCATTTCTGAATTACCTTCAATGTTACTTGCATTGTATTAGTAATATTGTTAGTAAATATTAGTAATAGTGTTCAATAATTTCTGCATTTCATCATCTCTCTTTGGAATATGCACAAATATGGATCTCTTCCAATCAGTTAGCCGGGAACTAGCTTCCAAATTTCTTGACAAAGACGAATGAATGCCTTCAGCGCTGCATCAGTTTGTTGAAATATTTCAATTTGTAGCCCACCAATTCCTAGAGCCTTGTTTTTATTGTGAATTTAGTGACAGTTTACAGACAGAACTACCAGGATTGCCTTGTGATTAGCAAGCCAGTGCTTAGCCTACAGTACCACACCAGGTCTGCAGTAAGACCAGTCGTAAGAAGTAAAAGCCAAGAGGCCCACTAAAAAGAAAACACAGAGAGAAATAATGGCATTATAGTTTAGAAAAATAACTCCTGTCTAATCTGGAAAATCGAAATCTGTAAACTGTGATCTGAAACGTTATGAATGTGACACAGTGTGGAACGGAGAGTTCTTGTGAAGTGCTGTCGAGTGGGTTCCGACTCACAGGTTTCCAAGGACTGGCTGGTGGGTTTGAACCACCAACCTTGTGGTAAGCAGTCCAGTGCTGATCCCACGGCTCAAGAAGAATAAGTGGCATATTGTTTAATGTCAGTGCCGGGAGTTTGAGCATCTTAGCAAGCAGCAGCTTCCCAAGTCAAGAGTGTTCCTGTAGTAAAGTCAAAGGGACTCACTTTTCTATGACTCCCACAAAAGGTCTCGTTAAGCGTTTGATGGCATAGAGACAGCCGTCCAGCCTCTTGATGCATTTGTAGACAGTACCAAACTCCCCAGTGCCAATCTTCTCCACCTCTAAAAATTCATTCTTATAACGGGAAGTCATGTTGGTTTCTCGTAGGACACATCTCTGAAAAAAATGAAAAGGAAGTTAAAAGTAAATCTGCCTGACGCATTGTGCGCAATGACACTGCCGCATATCCAAGAACAACTCCAGTGCTATTGAACTGATGAATGCTTTGCTGTGGATATTTTCATCACCATAATTTTTCTTTACCTTTGAGGCATGTTGTCAATTTCTGCGTTGCTCTTAGTTTCCAAAAAGATCTTGAAGGCAAACCCAACGGGTTCTATCTCGGCCCATGTTCCAGGTAGCGACACCACCTAGCCTGTGCTCTTTGTGACCTCCATACAAGTCTACACTCACATTGCCTTCCTGACCTTTCCAACATCCTTCCTTCTGTCTGTCTGCACAAATCTCCCTGCTATGTCCCTCCAGGGGTCACACTCAGAGTGACAGTCCTCCACCAGGACCATTTTAGACCTCTCCCTTTTAATCTCTACCTGTCTCACACTCTGGTTGCTAATGTTTCCATCTCAAATTGAGTAAACAGATTTGTTTTCAATTGACTATCCCCCAAGGTCTTTTAAGGAGCTCTGGTAACGTAGTGGTTACAAATTGGGCTGCGAACTGCAAGGTCAGCAGTTCAAAACTACCAGTCGTTCTGAGGGAGAAAGATGAGGCTTTCTGCTCCCATAAACATTTACAGGCTCGGAAATCCTGTACAGGGTCGCTATGGGTCGGAACCGACTCCATAGCACAGAACCATCAGAGTTTGGAGAATCAAGTTGTGTGATTGGATATTTCGGAACATGTGCTCCCCCTACTGGACAGCTAGAAACACCGTTCACTGCCCAGCTAGTAAATGAGCCCTATGCGTGTCTCATGTTTGATGAAAATCATGGTTTCTATTCATCTAAACTCTTAAATATTACATGAGAACATAAAAATAACTTAGTACGCAAGCACATGGTAAACTTTCAGTTAACAGTAGCTTCTTGTTGTTAAGTGCCATCGAGTCGGTTCCAACTCATATCAACCCTGTATAGGGTTTCTGAGGAGCAGCTGGTGAGCTTGAACCACCAATCTTGCAGTTCAGCGCATTAACCCACACCAGGACTCTAAACGTAGCTCTCATGCCCCAAATCAACATAAATTTATAGGAATCTCAATACAAACTGATCTATCTCCTGCGGTCTTTCCCCCAGTTCTATTAGTAAGAATTCCTACCTCATAGGATGTTAAGACTTTAAAATACATTGAGTCTTCCTAACTATTACTTTTCAACAACCAGTTTCAATCCGTGTTTATCAGTAAACCCACTACTGTCGAGTTGATTCTGACTCCTGTGACGCTATAGGACAGAGGAGAACGCCTCTTTAGGGTTTGTTGTTGTTGTGAAGTGCTGTCAAGTCAATTCCAACTCATAGCGACCCTGTACAGGGTTTCTGAGGAGCAGCTGGGGGGCTTGAACCTTGTGGTTTGCAGTCTACTGCTAAGTCTACAGGTGCCACTCATGGAGTTTCTGAGACTGTAAATCTTTACAGAAGCAGACAGCCTCATTGTTCTCCTGAGAAGCAGCTGGTGAGTTTGAACCGCTGACTTTGTGGTTAGCCGCCCAATGCTTAACCCACAGCACTACCAGGCCTCCTATTCATCAGCAAGAGCTAAAATTCTCATTGTTCCTAACCAGTCTCCAGCTCTGCCTCTGCCAGGTTTGTATTTGGGACAACCACCCATCCGTCCCTCTGTTTGTTTACTTGTATCAATTCTTTTGGAAATACGTTACTGTGGGAACAGAGACACTTGGCTGTCACTCATGAACCTCTGCTGAGAGGCCTGAAGATGCCAATTACCCACCCACTACCTTCCCGTGCTCGTCTCAGACACCAGACAAGATAGTGTGCCATCTGCACCCTCCCCAACCACTCGTCCACCCCCTCCACATGAAACTATGCCCCTCGGGGTCCTCACAGCATTACAGGGTGTTTGTTTCTGAAGGGAAAATGATGACATCAAACGTTGTACCTAATTGTTACAATGGTCACACAAGTCAGACACCATTCTCCCCGTGATGGGGTTTGTTAGGGAAGTTAACAGGATGCATTTCAGGATGAGAAAGTGCTTCGGGCTGGGTTGCTCCCGTAAGGATAGCCTCTACTCAGCTGTAACCACAGGCAGGCCAGCCTCTGTCTATGCAATGTTAGGAAGCTCTTTTAGGGCTTCTGGCAAATGCTCAGAGGGCACACGGGTTCTACCATAAACTTTGCCTGAAGGCTCTCTGCTCTAGCTCTGTGGGTCAACAAACCTGTTGCTATTGTTAGGCGCTGTCTAGTCAGTTTCAACTCAATAGCAACATTATAAACAAAAGAACAAAACACTGCACGGGTCTGCACAACCCTCACAATCTTTGTTTTGCTGAAGTCCATTACCACTGCCACTGTGCATATACATCTTTTTTTTGGGGGGGGGAGGGGTGGTCTTCCTTTTTTTCACTGACCCTCCACTTTGGCAAAGGAGCTCTGGTAGCATAGTGGTTACTAATTGGGCTGAGAGCCGCAAGGTCAGCAGTTCGAAACTACTAGCTGTTCCGTGGGAGAAAGATGAAGCTTTCTGCTCCCGTAAAGATTTACAGTCTTGGAAACCCTGTACAGGGTCGCTATGGGTCAGAACGGACTCCACGGCACATAACCAAAACCAAAACCAAACCACTTTAGCAAGCATGATATGCTTTTCCAGAAACTGGTCTCTCCTGATACCATGTTTGCAGCATGAGAGATGAAGTTTCACCATCTTGTCTTCTAAGGAGAATTCCAGTTATACTTCTTCCATCACAGACCTGTTTGGTTGTCTGGTAATCCATGGTGCCTTCAGTATACTTCTCCAACACCACAACTCAAATGCATCAATTATTCTAGGGTTTACTTATTCATTGCCCAACTTTTACATGTATATGAGACTAAAAATACCATGGCTTGGGTCAGGGGTAACTTAGTCATCCAACAGATGTCTTTGCTCCTGAATACCTCAAAGAGGTCTTGGGCAGCACATGTGCCTAATGCAATATGTCATTTCCAGCCTGCTGCTTGTATGAGTGTTGATTGTGGATCCAAGCAAAGTGAAGTCCTTGACAATTTAAATCTTTCCTCCATTTAACATGATGTTATTTATTTGTGCAGTTGTGAGGATTTTTGTTTGAGGTGCAACCCATACTGAAGGTTGTGGTCTTTGATCGTCATCAGTAATTATTTTAAGTCTTCTTCACTTTTTTCAGCAAGCAAGGTTGTATCGTCTGCATATTGCAGGTTGTTAATGAGTCTTCCTCTAACCCTGATACCACGATCTTCTTATAATACAACTTCTCAGATTATTTGCTTAGCATACAGATTGACCATGGTTGTTGTGAAGTGCCATTAAGTCAGTTCTGACTCATAGAGACCCTGTATAGGGGCTTCTGAGCGGTTGGTTGGTTTGAACTGCCAACTTTGTGGTTCAAACTGACCGTGCAGTCCAGTACTTATTCCACAGCACCACTCCATAGACTGAATTAAGTATGGTGAAAGAATACAACCCTGGCACACACCTTTCTTTATTTTAAACCATTCTGTATCCCCCTTTTCTGTTCAAACGACTGCCTCTTGGTCTATGTGCAGGTTCCTCATGAGCACAATTAAATGTTCTGGAATACCCATTCTTTACAATGATGTCCATAGCTTGTCATGATCCCCACAGTAAAAGGCTTTGCATACTTACTAAAGCACTCGTAAATATCTTTCTCATATTCTCTGCTTTCAGCCAAGATCCATTTAGTGTCGGCAACAATATCCCTTGTTCCATTTGAATCCAGCTTGAGTTTCTGGCCATTCTCTATGTACTGTTGAAACCATTTTTTAACTGTCTCCAGAAAATTTTTACTTGCATGTGACATTAATAATATTATTCTTTGATTTCTGCATTCAGTTGGGTCACCAACTCTCTTTGGAATGGGCACAACTTTGGATCTCTTCCAATCAGTTGGCCAGGTAGCTGTCTTCCAATTTCTTGGCACAGATGAGTGAGTGCCTCCAGTGCTGCAATAGTTTGTTGAAAGATTTCCATTTGTATTCCATCAATTCCAGGAGTCCTGTCCTTTGCCAACGCCTTCAGTGCAACTTCCTTTAGTACCTACATTGGTTCTTGATCATGTGCTACCTCTTGAAATGGTTGAACACTGACCATTTCTTTTTGATACAGTGACTCTGCATATGTTTTCCATCATCTTTTGATGCTTTCCATATCATTCAGCATTTTGTCCATAGAATCCTTCAAAATTGCAATCCAAGGCTTGAGTTATTTTCTTCAGTTCTTTCAACTTTAGAAATGCTGAGTATGTTCTTCCCTCTTGGTTTTCTATCTCCAAGTCTTTGCACATTTCATTACAGTACTTGACTTTGTCTTCTCGAGCTGCCCTTTAAATTTTTCTGTTCAGCTCTTTGACTTCCTCATTTCTTCCATTCATTTTATCATCTCTAAGTTGAAGAGCAAACTTCAGCGTTTCTGCTGACATTCATTTTGGCCTTTTCTTTCTTTCCATTCTTTTTAATGACCTTCTGCTTTCTTCCTGTGTGATGTCTTTAATGACCTTCTGCTTTCTTCCTGTGTGATGTCTTTGATGTGTCATCCCGCAGTTCTTCAGATCTTCAGTCATTTGTGTCTAATACATCAAATCTGTTCTTAAGATGATGTCTAAATTCAGGTGGGATATGTTCAAAGTCATAGTTTGGGTCTTGTGGACTTGCCTATAACCAAGCCTTTTCCAGTCTGCCTCTGGCCTTTGTTTTGGTTAATGATATTGAACTTTTCCACCCTCTCTTTCCACAGATGCAGTCAATTTGATTTCTGTGTATTCCATCCAGTAAGGTCCATGTGTATCATTAATTTTCATGTTGTTTTAAAAACATATTTGTCATTTGTCTTGCAGAAGTCTATCATGTGATCTATAGCATTATTTCTATCACCAAGGCCATATTTTCCAATAACTGATCTTTCCTCTTTGTTTCCAACCTTCGCATCCCAGTCACCAGTAATTA